GAAAAAAGAGTTCCACTGCTTAAAGATAGGTTTATAAAAAGAAAACAGAATTAGAATACTTTTTCTGGGTTGAGTAATTAGCTTACACTGCGTGCAGATAAAGTAGGCTTACGATACTGATATTGCTGCTAGTGCAAAGCAATATTTAATTTTTTATTCATTATACTAGAAATATCTGTGGAACTTCTCCTATATGCAAAGCAGTGTGCTAGGTGCTGGAATAGAACTGTAAAAATAGGCATGGACCTGCCTCATGGACTGTGTAGTCTAGTGGAAAGACAGGCAATAAGTAATTAGTGTGCATTATGATAACTAGGTGTGTGTGGGGGGAGGGGGAGGGAGTCAAGAAAAGCTTCTGAATGTTAGCAAAGCAAAAGTAAGGAAGTAGGAGTGTTCAGGAAATGGGACTTGAATATGTAAAAGCCTGTGAGTGAGAGAGACCATGGCTCTCTTGAAGAATTGGAAAAAAAATGTATTAACTCTGGGGTATAGAGTGCAAATTAGAGAAACCTTGTAAGCTATCTTAAGGAGTATAGATTTTAACTTAAGAGCCATGGGAAACAACAGGGTAAAACAATCAGATTTCTGTTTTTAAAAGCCACTCTGGCTGTAGGGTGGAGAATGGAATGAAGAGGAACAGAGTGGGGAACCAGAGGAGAAGGCTATTAGAGTGTTCTAAGACATGGGGGTTCCCAAGTTCAGGGATGTGTAGTGAGATGTGGCCAGAGGTAATGGGGAATTCGTTTCCACTGGGCCTGATGATTGAAGGGTTGGGTGTTGGGTATGGAAGAGCGAGTGTCAAGGATGCTGTTCAGTTTTCTGGCTCAGGCAACTGAGTGGATAATGGAGCCATTCATAGAGACAGGGAACTCGGGGTATTCCACATATATGTGAGATCATACAGTATTTGTCTTTTTCTAACTTATTTCAGCTAGCATAATGCCCTCAAGTTTCCTCCATGTTATTGCAAGATTTTCTTCTTTTTTTAAAATAGGTTAATAGTTTTCCATTGTGTATATATACTACAATTTTTTTTCTAACCATTCATCTTTTGATGGGCACTTAGATTTTTTCCATATCTTGGCTATTATCAATAATGTTGCAGTGAACATGGTGGGGGGTGTGGAGTGAAGATAATTCTTTGAGTTACTGATTTCATTTTCTTTGGATATATACTCAGAATTGCTGGGTCATTTGAAGGTTCCATTTTTAATTTTTAAGAAAAATTTTTATTATTGAAGTATTGTTGACATACCATGTTATATTAATTTCAGGTATACAACATAGTGACTTAACAGTTCCAAACACATTAAGCTGTGCTCACCATGATAAGTGTAGTTACCATCTGTCACCATAAAACATTATTACAATATTATTGACTATATTCCCTATACTATGCTTTTCATCTCCATATTATTTATTTTATAACTGGAAATTTGTACCTCTTAATCCCCTTCACTTATTTCACTCATCCTCCCCCTCCCCAAATTTTTAATTTTTTTGAGGAACATGCTTATTTTTTTTTTTAAAGATTTTGCTTATTTGACAGAGAGAGCACAAGCAGAGGGAGAGAGAGGGATAAGCAGGTTCCCTGCCGAGCAAGGAGCCCGATGTGGGACTCAATCCCAGGATTCTGGGATCGTGACCTGGGCTGAAGGCAGCCGCTTAACTGACTGAGCCACCCAGGCGCCCGCTTATTGTTTTTCTTAATGGCTGTACCAATCTATATTCCCACCAACAGTGCACAAAAGTTCTCTTTTCTCCACATCCTCACCAGCATCTGTTATTTCTTGTCTTTTTGATGATAGCCATTCTTATGAGCGTGAGGTAATATTGCAGTTTTGAGTTGCATTTCCCTAATAATTAGTGATGACCAACACTTGACAAGAGAAGAATTATTTGTGGCAGATAAAAATTACTTGCAATTTATAATACCCAACTGATTCCAAAGAAAGTTCTTTGTTTGGTGAACAAAGTGATGGATGTGAGGGTGCAAGATTAAGAGAGTTCACTAAAATTGTTCTGCATTAGAAAATTTTGGGCGCCTGGGTGGCTCAGTTGGCTAAGCGACTGCTTTCGGCTCAGGTCATGATCCTGGAGTCCCTGGATCGAGTCCCGCATCGGGCTCCCTGCTAGGCAGGGAGCCTGCTTCTCCCTCTGACCCTCCCCCCTCTCATGTGCTCTCTCTCTCTCATTCTCTCTGTCTCAAATAAATAAATAAAATCTTTAAAAAAAAAAAAAGAAAATTTTTATTATTTTTTTGCAGGAAGTAGAGGGGGAGGGCAGGAACAAGAGACAATGCTGTGAAATCTAGAACCAGGGAAAATTTAGAGATTATGTGAGGAAAAGATTAAAGGGAGAAGAGATTGCCAAGGGGAACTTTTGGGGAGGGGGAGAACTGAGATGTTTAATAGGAACTTCTATTAAAGTTTGCCATGTGGTACTTGATTATAACCCTTTCATGCATCGCTCCATGAAATCTACAATAATGTCTTGGGAAGTTAAATTTGTCCTTGTTGAGTCTGGAAGTGCTGAGTCCTACTCAAGGTGTCTGTGAGCTGCCTCTGAGGTCGAGGGTCGAGTAATGTGGGTCACATTACTTAGACATCAGCAACTTCTCCTCTGGCTGAAGATATGCAGTGTTTTAAAAAAGCAGAATGAAGAAAGAAACACCTGAAAACCATCATCCTTGGGCCCAAAACAACACAGCTCAGCTCTGAAGGATGAAAGTAGAGTTTCATCTGGCAAGGTACACAAAATCCAGAATATTTCAGCTTAATCCATAACTTCTCTATGTATCTTGAAAAGGGTTATAGAACTTCCACTCTGCCTCTTCCCAATCTGGACAATGTCACTTGTTCAGAACATTTACCTGATGCTGCAAAATTTGTGTGAAAAGTCAAAGAATGAAACAGTATTCAGGAAATCCTAAGGCAAAGACTTTTCAATTGATTGGGAACTCTTTCCTTGCCCAGAAAATCAGCAGCAGCTTTTGGAGCTCGTTGTGAGGTGATGGGGTAATAGGCTAGATTTTCAGAGCTTCCAGCAGAGTCTGTGGTCCCATTTAGCTCCATGGCTTTACTTTCCCACAGTTCTCTTTTCTTTTTCACAGTAGAACAGGGCCTATTAGGAAGCAAGAAATAGCTTTTAAGGAAAAGATCACAGAAAAATACATACCTTGAAAAACTGATAGGAGTGGAAATTGGATATAGATAAAGAGGACAGAGTGGAGGAGAGAGTCCAGGAAGCGTGTAAGATCTAAGAGCTGTGTGCAGTGTACTGCTTTGAAATAATGGCTACTCAAATGAATAAAGCTGCAGAAATATGTTGTGGGAAGTTAATTGCTTCAATTGCTGCCACTTCTAGAACAGCTCCATTTTAATTGGACAACCACTTTCCGTAGGATGACTAACAGGTACAAATGAGTGGATGGTGCTCTACAGCAAGGATAACATAAAGATAGCCCAGAATGAGCCACAGTGAGTCATCACATGAGCCAACTCAAAAAATTGAGCATTATAATGTAGAGGAAAGAACATAAGATTTAGAGTCAAATGGCCTAGATGAAAACCCAAGCTCTGGTACTTGCTACCTGTCTGCTTAGTTCTTCTGAGACTCAATATCCTCTTTTTTTTCCCCTAAGATTTATTTATTTATTTTAGAGAGGGAGAGAATGGGGTGGAGGGGCAGAGGGAGAGGGAGATAGAGTCTTAAGCAGACTCCCCGCCCAGCACGGAGCCCAATGTGCGGCTTGAACTCAAGATCCTGAGATCATGACCTGAGCCAAAGAAAGAGTCTGAGGCTTAACTGACTGCACCACCCACACACCCCTAAGACTCAATATCCTCTTATATAAAATGAGGTGTTATATGTTGCATGACTGTTATGAGGCTCAATGAATATAAAATATACATGGAAGCACTTTTATTTTTTTTTTTAAGATTTTATTTATTTATTTGACAGAGAGAGAGAGAGGGAGCGTGTGAGCACAAGCAGGGGGAGCAGCAGGGGGAGAGGGAGAAGGAGGCTCCCCACTGAGCAGGGAGCCTGATGCAGGGCTCAATCCCAGGATCCTGGGATCACGACCTGAGCCCAAGGCAGATGTTTAACCCACTGAGCCACCCATGCACCCCAAGTTTTTTTCTTAATTACAAAAGTGTATGTGTCCATTGCTAGAAACCTGGAGAACAGAAAGACAAAGGAAAACACCAAACAAGAACCCATAATTGTACCAACCAGGGAGAACAGATAATATTTCAGTATGTTTTCAATCTTTTTTATATGTATGCATGTATACATACAGCACACACTTTCTTTTATACAAAAAAATAGCATTTTAACTGTGCATACTTATTTTCATAGCCTATATTTCCACTTAGCAGTATATTGCAAAATATTTCCTATGTCAATAGTCTTCTACTACATGTTTAGGAAAGCATATTTATTTATTTATTTATATTTGGAAAGCACTTCTGAAACTGTAAAGGGCCATTCAAATATCAGTAATTATTAAAATAGGAATGAATGAATATACTCATCTCTCCCTCAATATTCACAAAACCCTAAACATCCCAAAAGTCGTCCTGTAGCATTCTATTGGCAATGCTCTTAACTCACACTTAAGGTGAGTACGATCATTTTTGTCTATCATTTCTTGTTTCTTTTCTGGTCTTTTCTTTCTAATACCTATGAAGACAAAAGTTCTGTATTTTATCTTAAATGCCTTTGATTTATTCTCTTCAAGTTTGCTTTGGCTATGATGTGCAGATTCTGTTGGGAGATGCTGTATGTATATCATGATGCTTTCCATTAACATAATTTAAAAATAATTACCCAGAAGTCTGGACTCACTGTCCCTTTGTTTTCCCATAATGAATATATATATGCTTTCTCTGTACACACAACTAGAAAACAAATTGCCACTCTGCTTTAGAAATGGTTAAAAAATATAAATGGACAAGTTAATTTGGTGTGAGGATGATTTGTCCTTTTTTCCCTAGCATGTATGTTCTGGATTGAGATTTTGGACATGAGGATTCTCCTGACTCTGTGACTATTCATGCATGGTGGGCAAGCCATTCACCTTTCCTCAACCTTGGTTTTCTTCTCTGTAAAATGTCAAGAGTAGAAGACATCATCTCTACTTAAAGGCCGCAGTTGGAGAGCTGGGTGAGTGTTCTGATGGCATACCAGAGATAAGGTAGACAGGTATGCCCTGGAACAGCTCTAGCCAGTTTTTAAACTATTGAAATCTTCTGTATCACTTTTTAAAAACTGGAGCTTCAAAGTACCCTCATTCCTAAATCCATACCTTTCCATTTACCTGGCCCTTCCTCCTGGATCCTCAAACTCCTTCGAATTCCAGCAACTCAGGGACCTCTAGCTGGCATCCATTCTGTTTACTCAGTGCCTGACTTATCCAGTTTTAAACTCTTTTGAATATCACCTCTGGATATAAATTCATTTGCATCCCCACTACACAATGCATGCCAGCTCATGATAGAGCTAAATCATTATCCCTGTGACTAAATCCTCTAAAGTTCACAAAATTGAAGACTGTGTTTGAATTGGCCATTTTTGTATGTCTTGGATGAAAATAAAGTGAAAATCTTAAGTGAACTTTGTGAAATTTTAGCAACTTTCATGTAATTTAAGGTAAAGTTGATACATTTATTTCTCTAAATGTGTCTCAGTTGTTTTTATCGTTTTAGAAAGTAAAGTGAATTCTTTAAAAGTTTCGTTCTAGACTTCAAAATAGCAGGACAAGAGAATCTATTCTTTTTTTTTTTTTTATCTTTATTGAGGTGTAAATCACATACCATAAAATCTACCCATTTAAAGTGTACTACTATTCAGGGGGGCCTGGGTGGTTCAGTTGGTTAAACGTCTGCCTTCGGCTCGGGTCATGATCTCAGGGTCCTGGGCTCGAGCCCTGCATTGGGCTCCCTGCTCAGCAGGGACTCATCTTCTCCCTCTCCCTCTGCCCCAACCCCCTGCACCTGCTTCCCCTTCTCCCTCTCTCTCTCCCCGCCCCCACTCATTCTCTCTCTCAGATAAAAAATAAATAAAGGGTGCTATTCATTGGTTCTTAGTATATACGCAGAGTTGCACAACCATCTTTACAATCTAATTGTATTACCCTAAAAAAGCCCCTACTCTTTAGCTGCCACTTCCCATTTCCCCTCCCCTCAGCCACTGGCAACCACTAATTTACTCTCTGTCTCTATGGATTTGCCTATTGTGGACATTTAATATAAATGGAATTGTGTAACATTTGGTTGTGACCGGCTTCTTTTGCTTAACATATTGTTTTTAAGGGTATGAGTGTATTCTTTTTTTGGAGGGGGGATAGGAGTGTATTCTTGATGTTAGAATTGAACTGAACCCAGAAGTGATCCTGCTCAAAAGTTTGAAGAGGTAATAGTGCTTGGTTTTGGTGTCCTCTGCCCTCTTCTGCTACATTCAGCTCTCCCCCACCCCCAGGCCTTCCCTCCCCAGGCAGTTTCCCAGTTCTGGTCTTATCTCCTCTTCCACAAACAAACCCCTTGTCAAATACCTCGACCTATGGAGATCTGTTTTATCTCAAATCTCACAAGCTCATTGGAAGTAAGGAATCCTGAGCACTGGGGACTTAATATGCTCTTCTCCCCTATTGTAATTACTGTAGTTTTCATTTTGGATCCCTAACTAAGGGCTGGGCTCTGCACTAAGCATATTTTTATACCTCACTTTAGGTAATTCTTGATAACTAAGGAGGTGTATATTAATATTTTAATTTCATGGAGGAGAAGGTAGAAGTTCAGATAAGTAACTTCCCCAAGGCAACCCATCTATCAAATGGCAGAATCACTATGTCCATCCAGATGTATTTGATATTAAGGTCCGTGCTCTTAATTACTGCATTTTCTAGAGTTTAACACACACATTTTTCATAGTCCAGTGTCTCTGAAATTGGGATGCCTCTTACACTAATGGTATTTATTATAATTGGCATTGGTTTTTTTTCTTTCTTAGTGGCACATAAAACAGCAACGCATTTTACAAGTGTTTATATCTTTGTTTTGATAAAGGTGGTACTAAACAATATTGCTTCCCTAAAAAAATTAACCTTGAATCATGAAATTGAAGGCATTAGTGACAGTTAGGAGGAGAGGGAGAAATGGGTTTTGAGGGGCAATTGTCCCCTCAACATAGCCATGTATCACATAATACAGGTGCCGACCTGCTTCCTCTGTGGATAAAAGTGACCTGATAAATGCCAACCTCATAATGCCTGAATCACAGACAATTATGCTACTTTGAAACCTTCAAGTTTTTTCATCTCAGTATAAAGCAGTGGTGGTCTTGTAACATCAGCTAAAGAGGGGTCAGGGTTATTCAAATTGATTTAATTGAATTTAATTTTTAAAACAGTATGAATCTCATAAAGGATAATGTTCCAACTCTGAAAATGTTGAGACATCATTGACCTACTGCAAATTTATATTAGGATATTAGATGCATAGTTGCAATGCCTCAGGTATTTCTGTATTTTCTTCTCATACTTCCTGCCCACAACATTTTTGACAAGAAAATGAATATAAATGTTTTTGCCCAAAGAATTTCCTCCTGCTATTTTGCTTTCTGTTTACTGGCAGAGGCATTTTAAGTGGAAGGCCCTGTGACATTTTCAGAGCAGAATGAGAGTTAAGTAGAAGGAAGGAGGCCAGAGAGAGCTGGTAAGTATTCACTTAGAGTTCAGTTCAGTTCAGTTGTTGTTCACCTGTTCTTTCCTTCTTTCTGGTGTTTCTCTGGACCGAGGTCCCAGGACTGTAGGTTTTCTTGTCCTATGTGGAGATTCACGCCGGTGAGCTAAAGTCAGGACTTTTTTTTTTCCTGGACCAGTCCCAAACTAGAAACTTCAAAGGAGAGGGAGAGAAAGGGGGTAGGGGTAGGGGGGGAAGAGAAGAAGGAGAGGGGAAAGGGACAAGAAGGCAGGGGGTGTCATGATCAAGTGGTGCTTTTAAAAGCTCCCTCCTGTTGCTGTGAGACCAGATTGGAGGATTGCTCTTGAAGATAAGGATAAGACGTGGATTCTTGTCCCAACTTTACTTTATCAGATGCTGGATGACTGAGGCAAAGCATTGATCTTGGTTTTCTAGTGAGGTTAATCATGCCTCTTCTATCTCACGTATAGTTATGAGATTCAAATAAAATGATGCATGTAAAAGTATTTTTGAAGAAGCTCAAAAAAGAAATACGAATACAAAAATTAATTTAGGATGGCAAAGTGCTACGTAGCAAAATTTCTGTGACAATAATTACAATAAAACAGCTACCACTTATTAAGCACACAGTTTACATTTTGTCCTCACACTAGCAATATGAGAAAGGTATTGTTACCAGAGATTTAGAGCTGAGCAAACAGACCTAAGGGAGTTAAGCAACTTTTCCAAGGTCCCAGTTGCTTAGTGGTAGAATCAGAATTCAAACCTGGGTGTGGCCAACTCCAGCCCCATCTTAAATTACCCTGCTTACATCTGCAATCTTTTTATTGGTCACATTTATTGTGAGAACCACAGAAAACGTAAGTGCTTAAAATGAAATAACTCATTTGGCCCACACATCTTGTTTATGAACATGGCTTTTCTTTTGTGTGTTGTTTTCGATTTATGAAACTTTTTTTTCTGCTGTAATTGACTTGGGCTGGACTGCTGAAATGTTAGCAGATAAGAGCTGAATGTCAGCAAGTGAGCAGGTCAACCTTTGTCACTAGATTTGGAAGTGACTGCATAATATTTTACCTGTAAAACATCTGGTTGTGATCATTCTCTGTGTTATATACATGATACCAAATAAGTTTGCTGAATTATAGCAACTTTATTTTTTAAACATTATACATTATATATTACATTGATACATTATATGCTACAATGTGATTTTTACCATAGCATTAGTTAACACTTCCATCACTTCACATAATTATAATTTCTTTTTTTGTGGTGAGAACAATTGAGATCCATTCTCTTAGCAACTATGAGGTTTACAGTATAGTATTGTTGCAATAATCACTATGCTGTGCATTAGATCCCCAGAACTTATATATCTACTAGTTGCAAACTTGTACCATTAAACAGCATCTGTCCAGTTCCCCCATCCCCAGCCCCTGGTAACCACCATTCTACTCTGTTTTTATAAGTTCAGCTTTTTCTAGATTCCACATGTAAGTGATATCATACAGCATTTGTCTTTCTCTGTCTGACTTATCTTACTTAGCATAATGCCCTTAATTAAAGTCCATAATGGCAGAATTTCCTTCTTTCTCATGGCTGAATAATATTCCTGTGTGTTTGTGTGTGTGTGTTTGTGTGTGTGGTGTGTGTGTGTGTGTGCACGTGCGGTGTGTGTGTGTGCCCACTGCATCTTCTTTATCCATTCATCTGTTGATGGACGCTTAGGTTGTTTGCATATCTTGACAATTGTGAATAATGCTGCAATAAACTAAGAGTGCAGATATCTTTTCAATAACCTGTTTTCATTTCCTTTGGGTATATACCCAGAAATGGAGTTTCTGAATCATATGGTAGTCCTAATTTTAATTTTTTGAGGAATCTCCATGCTGTTTTCCATAGTGGGTGCACTGATTTACATTTCTACCAACAGTACACAAAGGTTCCTTTTTCTCTGCATCTTTGCCAACACTTATTACTCTTGATTTCTTGGTAATAGCTGTTCTTTTTTTTTTTTTTTTTTAAAGATTTTATTTATTTATTCATGAGAGAGAGAGAGAGGCAGAGGCAGAGGGAGAAGCAGGCTCCCCGCGGAGCAGGGAGCCCAATGCAGGACTCGATCCCAGGACCCTGGGATCATGACCTGAGCTGAAGGCAGACGCTTAACTGACTGAGCCACCCCGGCGTCCCGGTAATAGTGTTCTAATAAGTATGGGGTGATAGCTCATTGTGGTTTTGATTTGTATTTCCCTGATGATGAGTGATGTTAAACATCCTTTTGTGTACATGTTGGCCATCTGCATGTCTTCTTTGGAAAAATGTCTATTCAGGTCCTCTGCTCATTTTTTTTCCTCTACCCATTTTTAATCAGATTGCTTGTTTGTTTTTTATCATTGTTGTTGTTAAGTTGTACATGTTCTTTATATATTTTGGATATTAACCCCTTATCTGGTCTATAGC